TATTGTCAACTAAATTTCCTTTACATTTAAAAATATTTCTTAAAATTTGTTTCTGAATCAAATTTGTCGTCCAATTTCATTAAGTCTTTTCCCACCTGTAAGAGTAATATTCAAATATACTTTTATTTTTCTTGGTCAAAGATAGTGAAAATGTACTCTGTAGGCAGAGAGAAGAGAAAATTCTCTCTCTCTCTCTCTCTCTTTCTCTCTCTCTCTCCACCTCTAACCCCACCCCCACCTCCCACCCCCTACTCCCCACCCCAAGGATCTTTTCACCAGGAAGAGTTGTTTCCCCTTCCTCCTTCCTCACCTCCGCCTCTATGCCTCTATGCACATCCAGGCTCTGGACTTGAGATCACACTAATTGCTTTTCTGTAATGGAGAGTTGAGTTTATTCATTATTAAACAAGGGTAGACTGCACTTTTTTAGTCATTGTTTTAAATAAATACTAAATCACATTTAAAAATTAAGAATCCATAAATATGATACACGTTTACTTTTCTGCTTTAACATTTATAAAGTTGTCAGCATAACACTGTTACATACATTTCCCACTCTCAGGATATCTGCATCAACTTTTCTTTAATTACATGAATGATCATGTCTTAGGAGTCTGAGGAAAAGAACACAGAAAAAACATAATTTTCTTTTTCTTTATATTAGGGACAGGGTGTACAGGGTGCACTGGGTCTCACAGTAGAGAACGGACTTGTAGTGATCCTCCTGTTTACAGCCTCCTAAATGCTGTGATTACAGGGGTGAGCCACCACGCCCAGTCTCAATTGCAGCCTCAGTGCACCGCAGGGTCGGGACCGGCCCAGCAGGCCCAGGGATTGAACTCCTGGCCCCTGCATCTGTCTAAGCAGGCTTTTTTTTAAATCCGCTGAGCTGTTTGGCTGGCCCTAGAACAGGTAAATTTAAACAGGGATAAATATCATGGCACCCCTGATCTCACAAAATCAGGTCCGAAGAAAGGAAACATTTAGAAGAATAAAATACCTGAGACAGGTCCGGATAGATAAGAGTGACTTTGGGAAAGGAGAAACAGGCATTTAAGATAAAGGTCACCTTTTCTGTCATTTTGATTGTTGCATCAACCGTAAGTGTGTTTAAGAAGCAGAGTGGGAAAGCAGACTGAGAACTGTCTCTTTGTGCACTTACTGTTAAAACTATCGGATAAAAAGATAAAATACCAACTTCTTGGAGAAGATTTATCTTACATCAAGGTAATTTGAGTTAAAATTTTGAGGGTTCATTAATCAAAGACACTAAAACTAAGAAAAAGCAAGGCTCGTGGGATAACTCAGCGGACTAAGCGCCTGCTTTGGCAAGAGCAGGGACCAGAACCCTGCTCCGGCCTGCCACGCCGCGCCGGCCCCTGGTGCGCTGAGCCAGCAACAGAGTCCAGGCATGGTAGCGCATGCCTGTAATCCCAGTGCTGGAAAGGCCGAAAACCGGTGGATCATTATGAGTCCAAGCTGCATAGTGAGACCCTGTACCAAATACATAAATGGAAGAGAAAAAAAGAAATCACAGAAATGACTTTTTTCCTTTCAATTCTATTTTTTGTTTGTTTTATTCATACATGTTTGAAATACATGCAATTTACAATCATCTTGTGGAGAGGGTACACGTATGTAATATAAATTGGTTCTTTCAGTTGTTTATTCCCTTCTCCTTTCTCCCACTTCCCTTCCTTCTCCTCTTAACCCCCTTCCATATGTTTGTTCATGTTGCTATTATTAATCCGATCTCATGTTTGTGACATATAATGTGCACATGCATTGAGGTTAAGTTCCTGTACATAGGGCTGGTGAGATGGCTCAGTGGTCTAAAGCACCTACTTAGAACAAGCTTAGCCAAGCACAGGGACCGCGGTTCCATCCCCCAGCACCACATGCCAGCCAGCCCGCCCCCTGGTGGGCTGAGCTGGCCACACACACACACACACACACACACACACAC